CCGCTACCTGAGAGGCACTACTAGCCCCTCCCCCGTCAGAGTGTCGGAGCAGGACGAGTCACTGCAACGTCATTTAAATGAGAGAGGGTGGGGGTGATTACTGCATTGGGAGGGAGAAAATGTTTTATGGGCAGAGTAGTTTATTTTTCCTGTGTTTTTCCAATTTTTTAAGACTAAGGTCATTGAAAGGGACGCTTTGCAGAGTTACAATCAGGGATTGCAAATAATTATTTTTCCTTTTTTTTCTTCTGCAGTTCGGTGCCCCCTCCAGCAGATGGCGCTCTAGGCGACTGCCTAGTTCGCCTATGCCAAGAGCCGGCTCTGACTTCAATGGTTAATGCCAAAGTTTTCAGCAAAGATGTCATGCAACAAGTAGCACTCAGGGTATGTGTTGTGAATGACTCTCAGCTACTACCACAACACATTTTAGCTCAACATCTGTAAAACTGTCTGAGTTTGAGATATCTTTGTGTTTTCTGTGTTTAGTTAGCCGTGTCAGCCGTTTTGAATCAAGCAGGCTTTAGAAGTTAATCAGCTGCAGATGTACATCCAATAATTAATTCCTCTTGAGTTTTATTAAAATACAGTCAATGGTTCATGAAATATTTTGCTAACAGACACACACACAGGTATAGTCAAGAACAAATATAGAATGATTATCACCATTTGAAGCCAGGTAAAAATGAAAATTACAATGCAAGTTTTGCTTAATTTTTGTATTTTCTTTCTTCTTTTATTTTACTTGTAAATAAAACATTGCTTAAAAAACAATTTTTCTCGTGACAAGCAGTAAATTAGCTTTTTAAATGTGTTTTCTGTGATAATACTCATGTTACATATTCTTATTAAATATTCAGGACCACAGATGTGTTATCACCTGTTTGTTGGTGGTGGGGTGGAGGAGCCTACCCATAATGCCACAGTATACTTCCTTTAACCATTACATACGTGAATATCCCCTAAAGGTCTTAGATCCTGGTCACAGAGAGGACAGCCCTCGAGGGGGGTGTACCCCCACGTTCTACAGCTCTACACCCTCCAGTGGGGCTGCTATTGTGTCTGCATGGACAGATGTGTGTGTGTGTGTGTGG